GGGGGGGGGGGGGTTGCCGACTCCTGTACTAGAAGATATTTTGGAGATGTTGCTCCCCCATTTTTCTTCCCCCGCCCCAAGAAGAAATGGCCCGCTGCCTTTCCCTGACATTATAGCTCTCAGAAGCCAGGCCTGCTGGTTTTGCAGGCAGCTGCATTTGTTTTTAGCAGTTCCCCCCTAACAATATAAGGTGTGGTCTGGGAGGAAGGAGTGTGTAAGCCTCTCTATGAGAACTGCTGGCAGTGGCCCATGAAATAAAAAGTGTATCTCCTTTTCTTGGCCTAAGGGTAGTGGTAACGCTCTGCTAAGACTGTAACCGTGCTCAGTTCTGTCTTACTGTCACTTTTCCCCAGCCTCAGCTTTCCACCTGCAGCAGTGAGCTGGTGGGAGACCGGATGTGGCCACACATGTGTCCTGTAGGCCAAAAACTAGATAGGGCTTCTGTTCTTAATTCTGTTTACCTTGTGTGCATTGAGACAGCTGAGAACAAACTGTTTCCTTTCAAAAAAACTATTAACATGTGGGTCTTAAAAATTGAAACTGCCCACTCAGGGGTTTCGTGTACCCACTCTCTCAGAAAGGGAAGCATGCTGATAGTGAACTGGGCTGAAGCCCACACTTCACACGCTTTCAGAATGCAAATAATACATTATGTGAAATCAAATAATGAGACAATTATGGGGCATTGTGTACTTGTTACTCCTCGGCACTGACACCTTTTCTCTTGCTGTCAGAGCTCAGTTGCATGTTCTCAATTAAACTACTAAGAGCTTGTAGGAACAAGCTGTTTAGGAAGCTTCTAAACTTGGTTATACTTGTATGATGAGTGCTCTGTCCTTGTACTCCTTTCTGAGTAACACTAATTAATTGATTTTTTTTTTTTACACTAAGGTTCTGAATAGGAGCTTGAATTGAAGTGGATTAGTCTTATTTACAGTAAGAGTTAACACAAGCAGAGTTGGGTAAAAGGTTTTGGTTGAATATTTTGTTCAGTGAAAAATGCACGTTTGGATTAATCAACACTATTCATGACTTTATCAAATTGCTCCAGCCAGAATAATATTTTTGAATGATAAAATTGTTTCAGTTCAGCATTTTCTAAATTAAGTGCCTTGACGCAGGGGTAGGGGGCGGGGTTTGGAAATTTTATCTCAAGTTAACTAAAAAGAATGAAATAGCAAGTCAGTATATTTTTTTGACTGCAAGATCAGTTATTTTCACAGCTCTACACAACCCCATCCGGCAGGTAAAACCTACAAAATGTTGTAGTGGGTATCTATGATAGACCACCAGACCAAGAGGAAGTGGTGGGTGAGGCTTTCTTCAAACAGCTAGCGGAAGTTTCCCAGTCATAAGCCCTAGCTCTCATGGTGGGGATTTCAGTCACCCTGTCATCTGCTGGGAGGTCAGTACAACAGTGTGCAGGCAATCCGGGAAGTTTTTGGAGAGTGATGGGGACAAGTTCCTGGTGCGAGTGCTGGGGCGGCTAGCGAGGGGCCAGGCTCCTCTTGATCTGGAGCTCTCAAACAGGGAAGAATTGGTGGGGAATGTACCAGTAGATGGCAACTTGGGCAGGAGTGACCTTGAGATGATTGAGCTCAGGATACTGAGGAAAGGAAGGATGGAGAGCAGCAGGGTAATCCTGGACTTCAGAAAAGTAGACTTCAACTGGCTCAGGGAACTCATGGGCAGGATCCCTTGGGAAGCCCATCTGAGACAGGGAGAAGTCCAGGAGAGCTGGCTATATTAGATGACCTCCTGAGATCCCTCCCAACCCTCATTTTCTATGATTCTGTGGATATTTTTTGGCAGCGTAGCCGAGTGACCCTGCTGAGTCTCCTAGATGAGCTGGTGCGAGGACCCAGCAGCTGCTGCCACTCTCCTCTTCCAACTCCCCAGGTGCATTGGGGAGGATCCCCAACTCTGCAGGCTGCATCTAGTGACTCCACATGCGATAGGTTGCTAACACCTCATGGGGAGACTCTTCCTCAGCCTCAGCCTACCAGAGGCATGATGCGGATGGGCACTTGCCGCACTCCAAGGGTCCCCTCAGGCTCTGCGGCCCCCCCCCCCCCCCCCCGGCACCTCAGAGATGGCTACCCAGATGGAGCCCATGGTTCCAGGATCCACGCAGACGGAGCCCCTGGCTCTTGGCTGCAGGGGCTGCCTGTCGCTTTTTCAGTCTGTGGGGCCCAGGAGCATGGCCACCTCCCTTTGTGGGGTCTGTTCCCTTTTGGAGCCTCTGGCATGCCAGCTGGAGGAGCTCCGGGCCACAGTCCAGAGACTGCGTGCCATCGGGAGCTGTGAGCAGGAGATCGAC